CAGGCTTCCATGAACTCAGCTGCAGCTCTGAGATAGTACAGTAGGCTAAAGAATGATTAAAGAATATTGAAGTCACTTTGGTTGCATAGGTGTAAATTAAACTTTTTGTCATCCGTGCACAGCCCTAATATGAGCCTACCGAACTTCATACTGACATTCTGGTCAGCAAACTGAACAGGAGTTTATTCGTAAAAGGGGAGAAAAATAATGTGAAATATATGACAAACCAAGTGTCATAACATTTCACAAATATGGAACAATCGTTCCCTTGTGAAAACAGTGTCTTAACATCACAGTTGCCTACAAGAGATCACAAATGTTCATAGCAACTCCTTCATTCTCATACTTAAATATAATCAGGTTATTGTGGGCATTTCTGCTTCATCTCTGTACTGCCCTGGCTCCCTCAGCATCTCCAACAATTCCACCTAATCCTCATCTGTGAAAACGAGTAACTAGTCCATCTCTCCCTCTTCTAACTCCTCATCCTATTCTTGAACTATGTTGTACACCGAGTAAATAATCACGTTCAGAGACACAGGTGAGTACTGGAGGGCCCTTCCTGAGTGTTCCAGGTAATGGAAGTGCAACTTCAGAAGCTCAACTGCCTGTTCAATGATGGCCTCAGTGAGTGCCAGTGTCAACAAGTTAGCATGGAGTTGATGTGTGATTGCAGGCAAACATTCATGGAACCTAGGAGTTGTACAGAATATAAGCATCACAACACCTCCCTGAATAGAGTGCAAACACAACAGGAATTGTTGCTTGTGTTCTCAAATGAGCTGATACTGTGAAACTGAAATCCTTTCCTGATTCACCTTGCCTTAAATATACATGGATAGTTTTCCTTCAACGCAAAGTCATTAATCCAATGCTTGTGCATTGAGTTCCCTCCTTTAGTTCTTCAGAATCCCTGTTTTAGCAATTTAATTTTAGCATGCTGGTACAGTGGTCCATTTGATTTTTGATTCTTTCCCTGTCTACTCTCCCCTTCTGTGTAGTTTTCCTCTGATTACCATGGATTGCATTGTATTATGGTATTAATTCCAGGCCAGACAGGCCTATACCTTTTAAGACAGTTACATGGCATTATGGTATGATATTGCAGCATATAGGTACACACTTTGCCTTCAGTCCTTCTCTGCATCTTGGTGTCAGTGTCACATGTTCAGTCAGATAGTTGTCTGTGTGTAATGTACAGCAACATCAGTAAGCACAGAAACTAGACTATGTGTGTTACTCTGTGATTGAGTAACCATGAATGTACCTAGTACCGTTAATAAACTTCAAGATATTTGTTTCAAGGAAACTCGGTCTTTGTAGTTTAAACATGTAACTTAGCATGTAGAAAATCACAAAGTGCATTGGATGGACTTTATCGTTTCCTCTTTCTGCTTCCCTGCTCTTTTTCAACTCCCACCCCAACTTAATGTTAGCTCTTATCTTATTTCCTCCAATGTTCCTACACTTCACCAGCCTCCCACTATGATCGCACTCCCATTGAGATCCCCATGCCCACCTTTACACTGGCAGCTCTTCTCATTTATTTTCAATACCCTTTCTCCCTCCCAGAATCCCAAAACACCCAATTCTGTATGCCTCTTCATAACCAGCTTCACCTTTTGTTGATCCCAATGTCCTTATTACTTTGACACTCCCTCTCAATCCTCGATTGTTGCCCCTGTTTTCCAGGATCTTTCTATTGGCCCTGACAACCATGCCCTATAAGTGACATTCCCTTCCTTCCCTTTGCACCACACCCACCTTTCCATGAAGCTTTTCTTATTGATGCCCCTATTAGGTTGCACCTTCATTTGGGTCAATATTCCATTAAAGTCCATCTCCCTTGATGTTAATGCTATCTTATGTTAATGCCTGCCCCCATCCGATTTGTTTAACTGAGCCAGTGTGTCTGCCCCATTGGTTTGTCTATAGACCCCTACCAACCTTTGCACCTAACACTAATAATCCTGTTGCAAAAAGATAGATGGTACACGAATAGACTTCTTGTGGACATGGAGAGCCTTCACTGCTAACGCTGGAAGTTGTTGTATTATGGCATAGATTCCAGACCAAACAGGCAACTATATGAAATTACATTCCAGTGTAAAGTTACTCACCTCATCTTTAGTCACTTTTACTGTGTCATGGAGTCAATGTAATGTGTTCAGTCTTCTTTGTGTGTGATTTGTGCAGTGACATGGAGTCATACAGTTATAGAGATATACAGCATGGAAACAGACCCTTTGGCCTAACAAGTCCATTCCAAACATAATCCCAAACTAAACTAGCCCCACCTGCCTGCTCCTGGCCCATATCCCTCCAATCCTTTCCTACTCATGTACTTATCCAAATATCTGTTAACTGTTGTAATTGTACCCATATCCACCATTTCCACAGGAAGTTCACTCCACATGCGAAACACCCTCTGTGTAAAAAAAAAACCTGCCTGTCATGCCTTTTTAAAATCTCTCTCCTCTCACTTTCAAATGTACCCCTATCACTAAGAACAGAGCCCAGGCTATGTTTGCAAGTCTGTGATATTGTAGCCATTTAAATAGTATTGTTATTAAGCCTCAAGCTATCTGTTTTAAGAAGAATCCACCCCTCTGTGGTATATGTTATATGGACTAACATATAAAAGGAGCACATCAGAAGCATTTAAATGCAGAAAATGTACCTCCTAATGAGCTGTTTATCATTGAGAACCTTCAGACCTAACAGTGGAAGTTTTAGAGAAAATAGGAATTGCCGATGCTGGAGAATCTGAGATAACAAGGTGTAGAGCTGGATGAACACAGCAGGCCAAGCAGCATCAGAGGAGCAGGAAAGCTGACGTTTCGGGTCAGCACCCTTCTTCAGAAACGGGGGAGGGAAAGGGGATTCTGAAATAAATAGCGAGAGAGGGGGAGGCGGATGGAAGGTGGATAAAGGAGCAGATAGGTGGACAGGTCAAGGAGGCGGGGATGGAGCCAGTAAAGGTGAGTGTAGATGGGGAGTTAGGATGGGGGTTGGTCAGTCAAGGGAAGATGGACAGGTCAAGTAGGCGGGGATGAGGCTGGTAGGTAGGAGGTGGGCGTAGGGGTTGAGGTGAGAGGAGCGGATAGGTGGGAGAAAAGATGGACAGGTCAAGGAGGTGGGGATGAGCTGGGCTGGTTTTGGGATGAGGTCGGGGGTGGGAAGATTTTGAAGCTTGTGAAGTCCACATTGACATCATTGGGCTGCAGGGTTTCCAAGCGAAATATAAGGTGCTGTTCCTGCAACCTTTGGGTGGCATCGTTGTGGCACTGGAGGAAGCCCAGGATGGACATGTCATCCAAGGAGTGGGAGGGGGAGTTGAAATGGTTCGCGACTGGGAGGTGCAGTTGTTTGTTGCAAACCGAGTGTAGGTGTTCCACAAAGCGGTCTCCGAGCCTCCGCTTGGTTTCCCCGATGTAGAGGAGGCCACATCAGGAACAGCGGATACAGTATACCACATTAGCAGATGTGCAGGTGAACATCTATTTAATGTGGAAGGTTTTCTTGGGTCCTGGGATGGGAGTGAGGGGGGAGGTGTAGGGGCAGGTGTAGCACTTCCTGCGGTTGCAGGGAAAATTGCCAGGGGTGGTGGGGCTAGTGGGGAGTGTAGAGCGGACAAGGGAGTCACGGAGAGAGCGGTCCCTCCGGAAGGCAGATAAGGTTGGGAAGGGAAAAACGTCCTTGGTAGTGGGGTCAGATTGCAGGTGGCGTAAGTGGCAGAGGATGATGCATTGAATCCAGAGTTTGGTGAGGTGGTATGTGAGGACAAGGGGGGTTCTGCTTTTGTTGTTATTTTACATAATGTTTTACACAATATTTATTCCATGTCCAAATGCAGCAAAAGCTGAACAATATCTAAGTTTGGGCTGACAAGTGGCAAGTAAGACTTGTCCCACCCACATGCCAGGCAATGATCATCTCCAACAAGCACAATCTAACCATTCTGATATTCAGTGGAATTATCATCACTAACTCCCCAATATCAATACCCTGAGGGTTGTCATTAACCAGAAATTGAACTGGACTAGCCATATAAATACAATGGCTATAACAGCAATTTGTAAACTCACCTCCTGATTCTTAAAAAGCCTGTCCATCATCTACATACACAAGTCAGGAATGTGATGGAATACTCCCCACTGTCGAACTCACGTAAGACACTTCTTAAACCAGCTAGAGTATTGTGTATGGTTCTGGGTATCACATTATAGAAAGAATACGAGCACATACAAATGTGTGCAGAAGCAATTTACAAGAATGATTCCAGGAAGGAGGAACTTCAGATATCAGGACAGGTTGAGAAATTGGGTCAGTTCTCTAAGAGAGAAGAAGGCTAAGAGGAGATCAAATAGACGTTTTCAAAATCATGAGCAGGCTGACAAGGGAAGTTCCAATCTGTAAAAGGAACAAGACAAAGGATATAGATTTGAAATGATGTGCAAAAGGAGCAAATATGGTGTCAGAAAAAAATCCATCAAACAGCAAGTAGTTGGGGTATGGAATGCACTGCCTAGAAGTGTGGTGGAGGCACATTCAGTTGAGTCATTCTTGAAGGCATTCTTTAATTATTTGGATTGAAATACTGTGTAAATATATGGGGAAAAATCAAGAGGTTGGCAGTGGGTAATATTGCTCCTTTGAAAAGCCTGTGCAGACATGATTAGACAAATGGTCTCCTTCTGCACAACAATCCTGTGATTCTGATATAGCTTGGATGAGTACATCTCCAACAATACTCAAGAGGTTTGGCACCAACAGGACAAAGTAGCCATTTGACTGGTACCACATCAACAAGCATTCTCTCCCTCCATCACCAACACTCAGAAGCTGCAGTGCTTACCATTTAAAAAATGTGCTGTAGAAATTCACCAAGGATCCTTACTCAGCACCTTCCAAACCCATGACCATTACTATCCAGAAGGACAAGGGCAATAGATATATGGGAAGACCAGCATCCGCAAGTTCCCCTACAATCCACATACCATCTTGATTTGGAACTGTATCACCGTTCCTTCAGTGCTGCTTGTTCAAAATCCTGAAACTCCCCTTTTAATGGCATTGGTCAAGTGGACTGCAATGGTTCAAGAAGGCAGCTCGCCACCACCTTCTCAAGGGCAATTAAGCATGTCCAGTGATGCCCACATCCTGTGGATAAATATAGACGCCAATGAAACAACTTATTTCCAAAGAAGTCAAGAAAAAGATTAATAATTTACTCACCAGAGCAGGGAGGAAGCAGTGTACCTCACCTGATACTCATCTTGTAAATATAGTTAAATTTGTGAACATTATATCCATTGTGTTAATTCTAAATCTTTCCATTGCACCTGGTTCTGTTTGTTACGGGCTGTTTTCTCTAGTGTACACTCCCCAATAAGCAGTAATAGTTTTCTTCTATGTACCCTGCTTGGAAGAATTTTAAATGGTCTAAAACTACTTTCTTAATCTCCAGTGAGGTTTTTTTTGTAAACAAAACTATCACATAAAACGGAATGTGTCATGGAGCCATATGTGGAAATGGTTAGCTGGTGTTGAGGGACATTTAAGGTGTTAGGAACAAAAACAGAAGTTGCTGGATAAGCTCCGCAGATCTGGCAGCATCTGTGAAGAAAAAATCAGAGTTAGTGTTTTGGGTCTATCAACCCTTCCTCAGAACTCCAGATTTTTTTTTCCACAGATGCTGCCAGACCTGCTGAGCTTTTTCAGCAACTTCTGTTTTAGTTCCTGGTTTACAGCATTTGCAGTTCTTTCAGTTTTTATTTACAGTGTTAGGGTTGCAGTAATATTGGAGACCTTGGAGATGTTCATCCCTGCACTTCTGAGAGTTGTTCCCCGATGCATTTATGGGTCACATGCTCAGGGTTATGTATCGTGACCAGTAACAGAACCAGTAAATTTTCCATAATGATTGCTGAAGGGCTACAACCTTGAGGGCCAATGGCTGGTTACCTGGACAGAATCCTTGTCCTTCTTTAAGACAAGGGGAAGGCATTTTCTTATCCTGTATTCTTTTCATTAATCCTATTGCTCATCAAAATTGAAACAGAAGGTTCCTTCAAGCAACTGTAGAGAATAGTACAAGACCACAGGTCATGGAGAAATGAGAGGAGCATCTGCCCTTAGGCAAATCACTGCTGCTGGAAGATCTAAAATATTGGATTCCTCTGAGTATATTTAGTTTAAAATAGGCTGCTACTTCAAACCGAACTTTAATATTAACAGATCTTTGCAGTAACAAGCAAACAATATTGTCACTGCAATCTGACAAAGAAATCAGTGTCTTTTTTGCCAAGTTTTTAAGATTCATAATGCTTTTTCCCACCAGTTTTTCTCATCTGTCTCAAAAATAATGTAGAGAAGTGCACGATGTGTTTTCATATATGATACTCAATGCATAGAGAGGATATGTATTTTCTCTAAGTTGTATGGAAAATAAGATAGTGGTAGTTTTAGAAAAGGTTGTTGCAGCACATTTAAATGGCATTGCCTAACTTCACTGTGATGGCCATCTGCCAGTACCCTGTTCTGGACAATTACGCCAATATTTGCCACCATTTTGCCAACATGTGGGCCAAAGGTGATAAAGGTCATGTGGCTGATCTTCACGTATCGCTTGTTGACTGTGGCAGCTGTCAGTAGCAAAAAGAGAGAGAAGGGTGGCATGGTGGCTCAGTGGTTAGCACTGCTACCTCGCAGTGCCAGGAACCAGGGTTCAAATCCAGCCCTAGGCAGCTGTCTGTGTGGGTTTTCACTGGGAGGCCCAGTTTCCTCCCATAGTCCAAAGATATGCAGGTTACATGGATTGGCCATGCTAATTTGCTCTATCATATCCAGGGATGTGCAGACTAGTTGGGGTAGCCATGGTGTGTATGGGGTTCTAGGGATGGGTTGTGGTTTGGATCTAGGTGGGATGTTCTTCAGAGCATTGGTGCAGACTTGATTGGCTGAATGGCCAATTTCTGCACTGTAAGGATTCTAAGAGAATAATTTAATGGCTTGAACTTTCAACATTTTGTACACTGTGTTCTTTTCCTTACAACAATTTTATATAAGATGAAGTTAGCTTTGATATCACAGCATTGTCAAATTATTAATGCATTAGCAAAGCCTTCATTTTCTTCTTTTTCTTTCACTCACTTATTACACACTTTGCCTCTCTTCTCAGTGCGGTTCACTTAATCCTTGGTTCAATCATGTTACATTCCACTCAGATTAGAGATGAGCACTGAGTGATGAATATGGAGTTGTAACAATCTTTTGCAGTTTTTTTCTAAAATGTTCTATTTCTTTCCTGTGAAATTGTGGTATTTTACCATTCGATGTAGAATGTTAATCTGTCAAAGCTATACAACTCTAAATGAGAGCCAAACTTTCCATTATGAGAGAGTGACAATTTGAGTGGAGATCTTAACTGACAACCAAACGTAGCTACCTGAGTAGATATGTCTTGTTGATTGTCAGCTAAGCTGCAACCCAAGGTTAAATCCACTTCTAGCTGAATATTTTCATTCGACAACTCTTCCTTCCTGTAATGTTCACTGAACAGTATATGTACCATCACTTTGTGATGGTGAATGGGTTTGAGAAAGGCATGCATTGTAGATCTGCAGACTGATTCCAGGAAGTTCCATTAGCTTTAATGTATATGTTCATGCTTGCCTGTTGCATTAGCTTTTTGGTCATGTTACAATAATAGTGACTGGTTCCAGGAGTTTCTGTACTTCAATATACACTGAAAAGAAATAACATTATAATGGTTTAAAAAGCTCAAGGATGAATGTCTGGGGGAATGCTTTTTTCAGAGTTGATCTGGGGTGTGTACAGCTTCAGTTGCTTGACAGTTATGCCAATGACTCCATCCTAACTTCCATGGTTGCAGTATATTGCTCATTTTGCATTGAGCAAGCTTGATACTGAAATAGAGCATATCAAAGCCATCTTGCAGGATAATGGCTGATCTGATTAGATCATTTCTCACATACACTTTTAGTCCTGGACAGTCCTCAGTCTATCTCAGATTTACCCTGAAGGGTTAAGGTATCCCAACAGTGTGAAACTAACTGTACACGAGGCTGAAGTCAAGACAAAAAAAAATTCTGCCTATCACACAAGTGAGTAATGTGATACATAAAGCTCATTGCCAGTGTGATGCCAGGATTGTAGGCCATATGTTCCAAAGTTTGCCAACTCAGACCAAATAACATATCTGTTCAGCTGTTCTCAACCAGCAAGGTACTGCCCATACCCAACTAACCCATGCTTGTAAGATCAAAACGTGGTGTCTGACATTAGATGTGATTCTGCTGACAGCCTACTTCGGATTGTCAATCAGGCTTGCAGTATTGGTGACTTCTATGTAATAGAGACCATATGTATTAATGCACAGAGTCATCAAGAGAGTGGGAGAGGGAATTAAAATGGTTAGCAACCAGAAGGTGTTATCGATTATCGTGTACAGAGTGCAGATGCTTCACGAAACGGTCTCCGAGTCTGCGTTTGGTCTCACCAATGCAGAGGAGGCCACATGAGGAGCAATGGATACAGTAGACCAGGTTGGATGATGTACAGGTGAACACCTGTTGGATATGAAAAGTTCAGTTTGGGCTTTGAATGGAGGTGAGGGGGGGCGGTGTAGGGGCAGGTGTAGCACTTCCTGTGGTTGCAGGGAAAGGTGCTGGGGTGGTGGGGCTAGTTGCGAGTGTGGAGTGGACGAGGGAGTCATGGATTGAGCAGTCACTATGAAAGGCAGATAGGGGTGGGGAGGCAAATATCTCTTTGGTCATGGGATCAGATTGTAGATGGCAAAAGTGGCAGAGAATGATACGCTGGGTGTGGAGGTTGGTGGGGTGGTCTGTGAGGACAAGGGGGATTCTGTCTTTACTTTTGTTGGGAGGAGGGGGTTTGAGGGCAGAAGTGTGGGAAATGCAAGAGATGCGGTTTAGGGCATTTTTGATCACTGGAGGGGAGAAGTTGTAGTCCTTAAAATAGGAGGATATCTGGGACGTCCAGGAGTGGAACGCTTCATCTTGGAAGCAGATGCAGCGAAGGCAGAGGAATTGGGAGTAAGGGATCTCATTTTTGCAGGACGGTGGGTGAGAAATGGTGTGGTCAAAATAGCAACAGGAGTTGATGGGTTTGAAATATCTGTTAGTGTTGAGGTAGTTACCAGAGATGGAGATGGCGACGGCGACATCCAGGAAGGGGTGGGGATATCGGAGACGGTCCAGGTGAACTTGAGGTTGGGGTGAAAGGTGTTAGTAAAGTTGATGAACTGTTCAAGCCTCTCATGGCCCAATCTCCACGACCCCTTTCTGCATCCACCTATCACCACCCCACCTATCTTTCACCAGCCCTACCCATCCTCCCTCTCACCTCCTTGACCTGAAGCAACCTGTCCCTCCCACCTATCTGCCTCACTCTTCTCACCGACCAAATCCCACTAGCCCCTAGCTGCATTCACCTATCACCACCCCATCCACCTTTCCCCAGCACCCCCCTCCTCCATCTATTTATTTTCCAGCTTCCTTCCCTCTCCCTAGTTCTGAAGAAAAAGGTCCTGACCCAAAACGTCGACTTTCCTACTCTGCTGATGCTGCCTGACCTGCTGGTTTTCTCCAGCTCCACACTGTGTTGTCTCTGACTCCAGCATCTGCCGTTCTTGCTATCTCCTGATAAGTTTTTCAACCCCATTCTCCTGCTTTCTCTCCGTAACCCTTGATCCCCTTGACAATCAGGAACCCATCTATCTCTATCTTAAATATACTCAATAACCTGGCCTCCACAGCTTCCTATGGGAGTGAATTCCATAGATTCACCACTCGCTGGCTGAAGAAGTTTCTCCTTATCTTTGTTCTAAAAGGTCTTCCGTTTACTCTAAGGCTGTGCCCTTGAATCCTAATCTCTCCTATTAATGGAAACACCTTCCCAACATCCACTCTGTTCAGGCCACTCAGTATTCTGTAAGTTTCAATTAGATGCCCCCTTCATCCTTCGAAACTCCATTGAGTTTAGACCCAGAGTCCTCAAACGCTCCTCATATGTTGAACTTTTCATTCCTGGGGCCATTGTCATGAACCTTCTCTGAACCCACTCCCAGGGCCAGTACATCCTTCCTGAGATAAGGGGCCCAAGATGTGCACAATACTCCAAATGTGGCCTGACCAGAGCCTTATAGAGCCTCAGAAGTACATCCTTGCTTTTATATTCAAGTCCTCTCAAAATAAATGCTAAAGTTGCATTTGTCAGACTACTGACTCATTAAGGTATAAAGTGAAAAGTTGTGGTTCCAACACTGACCCTTGTAGAGCACCACTTGTCACCAGCTGCCATCCTGAGAAAGACCTTTTCAACCCCTCTCTCTGCATTCTGCCAGACAGCCAATCTTCTATCCATGCCAGTATCTTGCCTCAAACACCACAGGCCCTTATCTTACTCAGCAGCCTCCAGTACGGCACCTTGTCAAAGGCCATCTTGAAGTCCAGATAGATAACATTGGATCTCCTTAGTCTAACCTGCTCGTTAATTCCTCAAAGAATTTTAACAGATTTGTCAGGCATGACCTCCCCTTGATAAAGCCATACTGACTTTGCCCAATTTTACCACATATTTCCAAGTATTTAGAAATCTTATCCTTCATAATGGACTCCAAAATCTTACCAACAACCGAGGGCAGGCTAATCAGCCTGTAATTTTTTGTATTTTGCCTTACTCCCTTTTTCAATGCATTAGTGATTTTCCAGTCCTCTGGGACCCTCCCTGACTCTAACAATTCCTGTGAGATCACCACTAATGGCTCCACTATCTCTTCAGTTATCTCATTAAGAACTCTGGGGTGTAGTCCATCTGGTCATAGAATCGTAGAATCCCTACAGTGTGGAAACAGGCCCTTCAGCCCAACAAGTCCACACCGACCCTCAGAACACCCACCCAGACACATCCCCCTGTAACCCACCTAATCTACACATCCCTGGACGCTATGGGCAATTTAGCATGGCCAATCCACCTAGCCTGCACGTCTTTGGACTGTGGGAGGAAACCGGAGCACCCAGAGGAAACCCACGCAGACATGGGGAGAATGTGCAAACTCCACACAGACAGTTGCCTGAGGGTGGAATCAAACCCAGGTCCCTGGCTCTGTGAGGTGGCAGTGCTAACCACTGAGCCACCCCGGGGATTTATCCACCTTCAGGCCATTCAGCTTTTCCAGCACCTTAACTCTCTTGAATTTTTGAGATATTACTCGTGTCTTCCACTGTGAAGACTAATGCAAAGTAATTATTCAGTTCCTCAGCCATTTTCTTGTTCCCTACCACTATCTCTGCAGCAGCACTTTTCAGTAGTCCAAAGCCCAGTTTTGCCTCTCTTTTGCCCTTTACATATCTAAAGAAACTCTTACAGTCCTCCTTTATACTGGCTAGCTTACCCTCATAATTAATTTTCTCCCTCCTTATTTCGTTTTTTTTGCCCCTTGTTGGTCTTTGTAAGCTTCCCAGTCCTCTGGCTTCCCATTATCTTTCACCACATTATATGCTTTCTCTTTTGCTCTTATGCTATCCCTGACTTCCCTAGTCAGCCATGGTTGCCTCATCTTTCCTGTTCTATGCTTCTTTTCCCTAGGGATGAATTTTTGCTGTGTCTCCCAAATTACTCCCAGAAACTCCAACTATTGTTGTTCCACTGTCTTTCCTGTGAGGCTCCTCTCTCAGTTAATTCCGCCCAATTCCTTCCTCATGCCTCAGCAGTTGCCTTTATTCAGCTATAATACCGTTACCTCTGATTCTATCTTCTCCCTCTCAAATTGAGAGTAAATTCAATCATATTATGACCACTGCCTCCTAAGGGTTCCTTTACCTTAAGCTCTCTTATCAAGTCTGCTTCATTGCACAAGACTAAATCCAATATTGCCTGTTCCCTCGTGGGCTCCACCACAAGCTGCTCCAAAAAACTATCTTGTAGACATTCCACAAATTCTTTTTCTTGCAATCCACTACCAACCTGATTTTCCCAGTCCACCTACATATTGAAATCCCCATGTTCGCTGTAACTTTGTCTTTCTTACACACTTTTTCTATCTCCTGGTGTATATTGCGCCCCAGCTCCTGACTACTATTTGGAGGCCTGTACATTACTCCCATTATGGTTTTTTCACTTTTGCAATTCCTCAGCTGTGCCCACACAGATTGTAAAACATCTGACCCTAGTTCCTTTCTTACTTATGATTAAATTTCATTTCTTGTTAAGAAGGCAACCCCACCATCTCTGCACACCTGCCTATCTTTTCGATAGGATCTAAGTCCTTGGATATTCAACTCCCAAACCTGATCTCCTTGCAGCCACATCTCTGTGATGCCCACCACGTCATATCTGCCAATTTCGATCTGCCCCACAAGCTCACTTACTTTATTTCTTATACTGCGTACATTCAGATATAATACCTTCAGTCCTATATTAACCCTCCCTCTTCTCATTGTCACTCATTTATCCAGTGTGCTTGAAGTTTGATTTCTAATCCTTTCCAAACATTCTGTCCTATTTGTGTCTGTGCTGGAGACCTTAATAACATCTCTTGAGTTATCCTTTTCTGTCATTTTTTTCATATTCTTCCACGCAGTTGAATCCACCACTACAGATGTTAACCTGCAGCTTTGTTCCCCACTGGGGGAAGTATTACCCTTCCATTCCCCCGCACTTTCGAGTTTAAAGTCCTGTTGACCAGCCTAGTTACCCTTTTCGCTAGAACATTGGTCCCAGCTCGGTTCAGATAGAGACCATCCCAGTGGTACAGATCCCTCCTGTTCCAATACTGATGCCAGTGCCCCATGAAAAGGAACCCCTGTTTCCCGAACCACTCTTTTAGCCATGTGTTTAATTCCCTTATTCTTATGTCCCTTTGCCAATTTGCACTTGGCTCAGGCAGTAATCCTGAGATGATAACCCTTAAGGGTCTGTTCTTTAATTTCGTTTCTAGCTCCTGATAATCCCTGATAAGATCCTCTTTCCTGGACTTGCCTATGTTATTTGTCCCAACATGGACCACAACAACTGGATCCTCCCCATCCCTCTCCAATATCGTTTCAAGTCAGTAAGAGATGTCCTTCACTCTGGCATTGGGCAGGCAACATACCATGTGGGACTCTCGATCCTGCTTACAAAGGATATTATCTATTCCCCCGATTATAGAATCCCCTACAACTTCCACTTGTGTTTTTGCTCCCCTCTTGAATGGCCTCCTGTGCCATGGTGCAGTGGTCAGCTGGCTCATCCTCCCTAGCCCTGTTCCTCATCCACACAGGGAGCAAGTACCTTGTACCTGTTGGATAAGGTCATGAGCTGAGGCTCCTCTGTTCCTGACTGCAGGATCTCTCTACCTGCCTCGCTTGCAGTCACTTCCTACTGTCCCTGGCCACTGACCAAATTTGTGGTACTTAATCTACCAGGTGTGACTGCGTCCTGATACAGAGCGTCCAGGTACTTCTCCCCCTCCCGAATGTGCCGCAGTGTCTGAAGCTCAAATTCCAGTTCATCAATTCTGAGCCAAAGCTCCTCCAGCAACCAACACTTGCTGCAGATGTGGTCACTGCAGGTCACAATGGGATCAGCCAGCTCCCACATCATACAGCTACAACACATCACTTGTCCAGCCGTTTCTACTTAGTTAATTAATTTATTGAGTTAATTAACTTCGGTATTCTCGCAGCTAAAACGTTTCCCAAGCTCCAGTAAGTTTATACTCACTCTGCTGTTGCTGCTTTGTCTTCTGACAGCTTCTTGCCAACTAGCTCAGTAAGACACTGTTTAGAGCCTATGCTCATTCCGTTCTCTGACTACAGCAGCATCAATGTGATAGGAATGCAAAATACTGTGTACTTTTTTTCCACTCTCACCCTCTTTGTGCAATAACTCACTGTGCATAGGAAGTTGTCACTATGTGCGCGATGATGTCACTTCCTGTGTAATGCTGAAGTGGCGGCATTGCGGTATTGTTATTGGACTAGTATTCAGGCCTCTAATGTTCTGGGAATATGGCTTCAAATCCTACCACGGCAGATAGTGAAATATGAATTCAAGAAGGCTAGTCTATTGGTGACTGTTTAAACATTGTTGGTTGTAACAAAAAATCCCATCTACTACATTAACGTCCTTTAAGGAAGAAAATCTGTTGTCCTTACCTCGTCTGGTCTACATGTGACTCCAAACCCACAACAGTGAGGTTGACCTTTAATTGCCTTCTGAAATTGGCTAGCACATCAGTCCATTCAAGGGCAGATAGTGATGAGCAATAAATGCTTGTCTCGTCAGCGATGTCCACATTCCATGCAAAACGTTTTTTAAAAGCCACAACGAGGTCCAAGTTAGGTTGCTTCTGGAGATAGGCAGTCTTGCTCCTAACATTACAAAAGTGCTGACATTTCGGAGGTAGCTCAATGTTCTTTGGGATGTCCTCAGGTCATGAAAGTTGCTACAAAAATGCAAGCTTTCTCTTGCAGAAGTAAAGCTGTTCTTACAGCATAATGAAAATGCTTGTCAGAATCTGTTAAACCAAATAGGAGGTCAGGTTATATTTCTACAAGTAGTAGATCTAGACCACCTTTGGCTCCATTGGCACTGATTAACTCTTTAACAATAGAGGTTTCAGATTCTCAGTCTTGCTTTTGGTTTCATGCAATTCTCCTGTTTGTTAAAACATATTGGGGTAGCATTATAGGCTGGTGAAAGCGGAGTAGAAGATATCACCAGTGGGTCTAACACGGCAAGCATTCATTAAATCTGTATATATATTTTTGTTTACCCTTTAGGTGGATAAGCCGTTTAAAGAACGCCTGTGGTTTTCGGATCCAACATGTTAGTACTTTTCCTGCCTTTCGTTTTGCGTAATGCAAAAAGCCCGAAGACTGTCACTTAATGTTTGATGTACTGCACTGTTCACACAAAATAAACATATTGAGTGCTCCAGATGAAAATTTAAACTTCCACTATGTTTACACGCCGTGCAATTTTCTGGGTTTGCTTGCCTCTGTCGATCACTTCATCTTTCAAAGGTCAGGAGGTTGACTGGCAGTATTTAAGATGACTGTTTTCTTTTATTATGGGTGACCTTTGATTGAAAGTCTTATTTTTCAGGTGATGGATTGAGGTAGATAATGCCTGTTATTCTTCTCCTTCACAGAAAACAATCTAAAATGTGCCCATGTTGATTTCTGCCTCAAGCATCATCAGACTATGTCCCAATAGCTATTCAATTGGAATTCTGGACTACCATGAGTTACCCACTTATGTTATTGGTGCTTGAATATGGTGAAAGGGTCTAACAAGTTTGCCAAAAATATTCAAAATAGTAAATGAGAAGGGGTGTTCTTTGCTATCTTGCATGTATCTAAGTTGCCTTGTAAAAATAAATTCCATCCCTCATTTATTAAATGATTCACCAAGGATGAAGCCAGACATTGGGGATTTAATTACACCATAGATTCATTACAGTGTAGCAACAGGCCATTAAGCCCATAATGACCCTCTGAAGAGCATCCCACTCAGACTGTGACCTATATTAACCCTGCATTTCCCATGGTTAATCCACCTAGCCTGCACATCCCTGGACACTACAGGCAGTCTAGCATGGCCAATCTACCTAATCTGCACATCTATGGTCTGTTGGAGGAAACCAGAGCACATAGCAGAAACCCACACAGACACAGGGAGAACATACAAACTCCACACAGACAGTCACCTGAGGCTGGAATTGAACTGAGGTCCTATGCTGCTGTGAGGCAGCAGTGCTAGCCACTGAACCATCATGCCACACCAGGTACGCTTCTTTAGTCAATTCAGTGATGACCTGGCCTGAATCAAAAGGTTAGTACGCAATGATTTGCTATGGCCCTACAGGAGGCGGTATAGGGATTTTTGTGCTCTCTTATTACTTGAAGAATGCAAAGAACTTCGCTGGGGCCAATTAGATTAGTGAATGCCTCAGCAAAGGCCTTCCCCCTCCCTCAAACTCCCTGCCATTCAAAAGGATCTAGGCAAACGTATGTTGGATGAACAAATGTAATGCAATGTGTCCATAGTGACACTTATACCTCTGTGCCTCATGCAAATTAGGTGCCAACATACTGACCTCCCAGCTTTGGAGTATCAACTTTAAAAGGTTTCACATCACCATGAGCCTGACCAGCTTCAGAAATGTCAACACAAAGATTGTACCTTTTCTTTTAGAGGTATGGGTTGCTTACAAGACATGGGTGCCACTTGCTGAGGCCCCTTTCAAACATGCTGCCAGCCAGAGATGTATTGTGCATTGAGCTGCACACTGAAATCATTGAAATGATGACGTAGAGTGAAGTATGCATCATTCTTATCTCAGTTGGGCTGGGCAAGAATCAAGGATCATGATCGCTCTTCACCACACACTCCTTATTTCCCATTTCTGCCAAACCATTAATCTAATGCCCTCTACCTATCCCCCATATTCTTTATTCTCCTATGTCAAGTTAGTGATTACTCCCATCCGCTACCCTTTCCCTCTTCACCTATAAGCTAACTCATAGTTTCCACAAATACCTAAAGAGGTAAAGACTAGTTCTATTACTTACATCAGAGATAGTACTCCCTACCTGCACTCACCTATCTCCATCCCACCTACCTTCCCCAGCCCCATCTCTCCTCTCTGTATTTGTTTCTGAGCTCCCTTCTACTTCCCCATTTCTGAAGAAGGGTCCTGACCCGAAATGTCAGCTTTCCTGCTTCTCTGATGCTGCCTGGCCTGCTGTGTTCCTCCAGCTCCACACTGTGTTATCTCTTTCTATATTACATTATACACTCCATTGAAAAAAGCACTCTCACTTATTAACACACATTTGAACACATGTTAACATGAATAGACAGACTCTTGTTGGTGTTTCTAAGTCTTTGTCGAACCTTGACTGTTCTTGACAGATCTTCACACTTATTACCATTTTTAACACAACTTGATACTTGTTGACATTCTTATAAAGTTGACAGTTATTGACGAGTCTTGGCAAGTGAACTGTTCTGAGGAGTACATGTACTTTTTGTACACAATCTTCTCCACAGGTAGCAGTCCTGCTCAAGGATCCCTGACCTCCAAAGGATAGGTGAAACCTCCAATCCCAAAGGATCCCAAGGAATCCTGGGATGATATCCAGAGAGGTACCTCAGGCTTTCCAAAGGGTTACCTTTGCTATCCAAATGAAATGCACTGAGAACAGACCTGCTTTTAACGAGTCTAATCTCCACACTCTGAGTTCTTAACATCAGGGATTCCCAAATCTCATTCCATTGGAGACATCTGGTAATTTATTTTTGTGCTGTTCATTTTCTCATCAGTGATAATCTATGTTACAATAATATCCTTAAACTCTCCCTTGCTGTACAGTGAAAATCAACACTCGAGAATAACATATTTTGTTTCCCATGGAGCATATATTTCACAGCAACACTGACCTATTTGGGAAGACAGTTCTTGGACTTGTTTTTTTTACCTCTTCAGAAAATTACATAAGCCTCAACGTACCTTACCCTTGAGTGATGATCAGATAACCTGCAGTAGCTAAGGGCAGCATGTTAAGTTGTCGATCATGACCTAAGCTAACATTGATTTTTGGCTGTAACTTGTATTTGATACTGTTACTTTTACCAAGGCCAAGGCTCCTAATCCCCAAAAGCATCAGTCAAGGGAGGTATATAAAGCACTCTAAATCACCATGGATTAGTTAATAGAAGTTTGATTAAATGTAGGCTCCATTCAGAGATGGTGGAAACCTTAAAATAAAACTGTTGCATATATAAAATAGAGACAACATTCCCTATATTTGTGCAAAAGAAAACAAAATGTTGAAATTTCTTGGCAATCACACTGCTGGATATTTTAACAGTGCTGCAAAGAAAAGATTCGTATAAGTTATCTCGTGCACTTTTATGTTTTAATTAAAATAATGATTGTGAAATTAACAAAATTGTTCCTGTATCCAAATACAATGAAGAAACCCATTGCAATACACACTGGTATTCAGTTCCACTCACTGAACAGATTTCAACAAGATTTCTTTATCTGTTAGTTTGATAGATATACCAAGCATCTATATGCTAATATTTGTACAACTTGGTATCAATCCTATTTCTATGGAAACAAGTTGATCAAAATGTGGAGCCGTAAAATCTACTAAAACGCAATTAAACACTTAAACGTATGGTTGAGCTACATGTTAGGTTTGATGTTAAACCTCTACTATGCCTAAATATCTAACCATGGAAACTGGTATCTAGTCTTAAAATATACTTCAAATCCTGCTATGATAGTTGAAGGGGAGGGCAGTAGGGATTTACCCCTGTACAATAATAGCATGTATTGAACTTATCAGTGGGGTCCAAGCTCGCTCTAATAGCCTTGTATACTTCCCTGTGTGCTTCACAAAACAAAAAAAATCACTTCAAGGCAGGTTCAGAAAATAGGACGATGAAATATTATGTCCTATTGTTCTTTGAAAAGCATGAGAATTTAGAAAGGTGAAATGCAATAATGCTGCTGTCATGTTTCTTACAAGGTTGTCTTTGATCTATTACAAGTAAGCACTGAGTAAGCTGCAGTCTATATCAACTTCTTCTCATTAATGGCTCTATTTATGCCTGTAGGCCACACTTTAGCCTGCAAAGAATTCAGAATTCCTATTTCTGATCAATCTGAATTGGAGTATATGGCATTTGAACTTCATCATACATCTGGACCAGAATAATATATACACAATGATATACATAATTAGGACCCTCTTCTAGCTTTTTCCAAAAAGCGGCTAACTATATTGTTAAGGGAAATCAAAGATGTATCCAAATGATAAATAGTTGTACATTACCAAGTGATTCCGAAATCAACTCCCACAAATATCATGTTGCAAAATCAACTGATACTTTGTTGTG